GCTCACTGCCAGTGACAAACCACCTGCAATCTTCTAATCCTTCCCAAACATCTGTACTAACAGGACCAAGCAGTCAAAAGCTTGAGTCTAAGGAGGCCATTCTCATGCAAACCAGCAATTCCTTCCCAGCAGCTGTAAATTGCCAGTAACTCCTTAGCTAGGGATAGGGGCACATAGGTATTTTTAGTAAGCTATTCACTTGATTTTGATGCCCAGGCAATGGGGAGTTTCCAGGTTGTAAACATGTACAATAGTTTGCAGGGCAGGAGAGTAGCAGCCATGAGGTAGCCTCTGAGTCATTCAAAAGGGACTTTGAACAGGACCTTGAAGCCATACAACAGCTCAGGGCAACAGTTTGAGCAGATGATGGCTGTAGGATGCAGTCTGATGGCCAGTTTGAAAGTATTAGTGTCCTACTTAGCAAAGACAGATAATAAAGGAGACACACTGGGCCGGAAATAAGGTGCTAGGAGTGAATCTGCAAATCAGATTATAATTTTGTGCCTGAATTAAAATTACACAATTAGAGAAACCTAATGCTTGAGACATTGCTTAGATTTGTTAATATTAGGTGGTCATTGCTCTCCTCTCTTGCATTTTATATTCTATAAAACAGCTTATAAAAACATGTATTCAAATCATTCTTATATTTGAGAGTAAATGTCTAATTTAAAATATAACAAGCAGTTTAAGGTTTATGGTTGTTAGACACATTAAGTTGAAAAAAATGAGGTTATAATCACTGTAATTTGACCACAAACAGGGTCATACTCATTCTACCTTTTAAAATTCTATTGTAATATTGTTTTAAATATATAAGAAATATTAAAGGGGGTTGTTGCTAGGAACTCAACAGATGACCCTCTGTGTGGTAACCTTGCATTTTGGCCCTGAGCTACACTCATAGTCCCCTCAAGGCCTTTCTTACCTATACACAAAGTTTTAAGAACAGCATCTAGCCTTGTAATTTTAGGATGACCAGTGAATCTCCTACATCTTTACATTATATTGCGCTTAGGGAGCACAGAATGGCTGCTTATCATCCATGCTGGGAGCTCTAAGCCAAATCCATAGGCAGCTCATCTTCTCACACAGGCCCGTGGAATCCATGAAGGGATGGAACATAGAACCAGATTACATATGGTTATCACACCTATTTGCATAGGCATGTTCTCTGTGAACCCTTACAAAAGAGGTTCTGACTCTAATTAAAACACAAATAACAATAGTAAAAACCTAAGCACTGCTTGCAATTTTAAGGAAAAAGGAAATAGGAAAAACTTGTTTGGAGTGATTAAGAATTTGTTCAATTTGATTAGTGAGTACGATTATAACTTTGTTTTATAAGTGAACTGCACACTCTCAATGGAAGGTCATATTGTTTTAATGAATGGATTGTGTATTTGATTGGGGGAGAGGCTGCCCAGATGCCTGAAGTATATGTCACCTGTACAAACTATTACTTTAGATTTACAGGAAAGCTGAAACAGTCCAACAGATTTCTACATATCCTTTTCCCAGATTCTCAAGATGTTAACAATTTATCATCATTTCCATTGTTTTTTAATGAAAGCTTTTAATGACTAGTTAACAATATTATGTCACGGTAATTCTTTTAAAGTTAGTATAATCTTAGGCACCTGCTGGGAAGAGACTTGAGAAATAGCAACCGAAAACCATTCAGGAAAGAAGCATATTTACTGTTAGGTTTTTAAATTAACATGTTAGTTTGTACAACTAACTAACTAACTAACTAACTAAATTGCATCTTAATTTCTTAAGTTTCTTAATTTAAAACTTAAATTAAGTTTCTTAATTTCTTAAGTCCTTGAGGGGACTATGAGTGTAGCTCAGGGCCAAAATGCAAGGTTACCACACAGAGGGCCATCTGTTGAGTTCCTAGCAACAACCCCCTTTAATATATCTTATATATTTAGTTAGTTAGTTATTAATATGTAATATTAATGGAGCACACATTGTATGTGCACTAGAATCCAATCAAGGTAATCAGGACTAAACTATTAAGTCATGATTTATCACTTTCATCTTTCTATATACAAGCTTAACACCCCCCCCCCACGCACACACATATATACACACAAACACACACACACTGTCAATCCCTGATTCATTTACACTGCTGGCACGATGACCCTTTATGGCTAAATCATTATGTGTGCTATGTTACATAAATTCAATTACCACAGCTCAAACCCAACTTAAGAAATTAAGATGCAATTTTCTAATTTACAGACCTTACTCAACTTTTTCCTTTTATGCTAAAATGTACTTTGTAGCAACAGTCAGCAAATTCTTAATGATCCAGGGTCTAATCTAGAGCAGAGTTGCGTTCCGTTGTCATGCCTCTGCTGTTCCTGTAGTCAGGGACAGCTCCTTGGTTGCTGTGCCTCATTCTGTCACTTTTGAAGCACACAGGCTGTTTGTACAAGCCTCTCAACTTGGACTTGTTACTTTGTTATTAGATTCAGGCTATGCATCTCCAGTAGGACCCAAACAATGGTGTGCCCTCTTCAGGTGGTAAATGGTAGTTCCCCAAGACTGGTAATTTTAACTTTGATCAATTTAACGTAAGTATCGTGTACCAGATTTTCCAGTGTATATTGACAATTTTCTCTTTGTGGATTACCTTTCCTATGATGACACCACACAGTCACCCCATTTCTGATCTGGCTTCTACCTAGTAGTTTTAGCATTCACTGACGATGCTCACTCCAATTAGCTTGCACGGTAGCCGCCAGCTAGTATTTTTCTAAACTCGGCATCCAAGTCACACATCAGACATCCTATTGTAAAGAGGTCATCCTCCTCTTCTATCGACTCATCTAGTTTTATCTGTATGGGCCTGTGGCTATTCTGCAGTTACAGTTCATTACTGTGATGCTCAACTTCTCTCTGTATCTGGTGTCCATTGGACATTTCCCCAACATTCTTTGAGAACTTTCTTTATGGCAGACAGAGTCAGATATTTTTGGTACATATATGCTTTCCTTCCCAGTTTGGGAATCAGTTTTCTAAAAGGAATGCTTTGGTTTCATTTTTTTAAATAAAATTCTAAGTAGATAATTTAGATATCAAGTTTTGACTTCTAGGCATTGCACAGACATGTAATTGGGCAGTCCCTGCCTCTAGACCAGTGGTTCTCAACCTTATTAATGCTGCACCCTTTCAATATAGTTCCTGATGTTGTAGGAGCCACCAACTATAAGATTATTGTCATTGCTACTTTGTAACTGTTAATTTTGCTATTGTTATGAATTGTAAATATCTGTGTTTTCCAATGGCCCTAGGTGACCCTCCAATGGGGTCATGACCCACAGGTTGAGAACCCCTGCTCTAGATGCTTGCAGAGGATATAATTAGGACACAGGGGAGGGGAGATGGTTCTGTATGTAAATGGCTTGCTGTGCAGGTAGGAAGCTCCCCAGAACCCAGCATGAAGCCTGTTGTGGTCGAATGCACTTGTGAACCCAGCACTGGGAGACAGAGGAAGAGACAGGAAGATCCTTGGAGCTCACTGGCCAATCAAGCTATTGGTGACATCTATGTTCAGTAAGAAACCTTACCTCAAAAAAGACACATGATGTTGGCCTCTGGTATCCACAGCTACAACAGAACCTAGGCAACAAGTTCCCAGGCCAACAGCTGGGAACAATAGAAATGTTTCACATTTTCTATTAGCCTCTTCCACTGAGCACAGTGCAAGAGGTCCATATTGCCTATCATCCCACTGTGGATTAAGTCCCCTTTAAAAATTAAATAAACTGCCTTATTTGCCATTCTATTGACTTGTCACAGTCTTGGGTGGTAGTTTATGATAGACATCAATTTTTCTCTTAACTTATTGGGAATTTTAGTGAACACAAAAGTGTGTGTGTGTATAAATGTGTTATATATCTAGAAAGTAAAGGCTAAAAAAAAAAAGAGAAAAATCTAAGGAAGAAAGGTAATAGCATTTAAAATTATATTTTGTTTTTCCTAGACAGAAAAATAAACATAAGCATTTTTAAGTCAAAATTTACTTTGAAGTGCTTTTTACTTCTTAAAACTAATGAAGGGTATCTATCTGTCTATCTATCTATCTATCTATCTATCTATCTATGTATCTATTATGTGTCGTATATGTGTCTATGTGTGCATATATGTGTCTAGGTGTACAAACATGTACAAACTTCAGAACCTGGGGATAAAATTCCAGATATCAGGCTTAGTAACAAAAGCTTTTACTCACTGAGCTATCTTGCAGGTCCATGAGTTTGAACTTCTGACTCTCCTGCTTCAGCCTGAGTGATACATTATGGGTGTGTATCACCAACTGGCTTATACAGTTGAGGATCAAATCCAGGCCTACCTGCCTGTTAGACAAGAACTGTGTTAACTGAGCAAGATCCCCAGCCCAGAAAAGCTACTCTTCAATAATGCTTACTTGGCTGACTTAAATTCTAGTCTAGAAAAATTCCTGAGTAGAGTGCCTAAGAAAAGAGTGTCAGTACCAGAGGCTGACCATGGGACTCATCATGGCGGCTTCTACAGAACTGTGCTGAGCATAGCTGACTCCATGCTCCATGTGAATGGGTGGGATGCAGACACAGGCACAGGCATCCTTTTCCTCATTATAGCAGCTGAGTTAAATATGGCTGAACTATTATTTCAAATACTAGATTTCACATGTTAACATGGATACTGAACTTTTTACTTTTACAGTTAAGAAGGTAGCAATATCACGTAACTGTAGAGAGGAGGCAAGGGAAGTTTGCCTTCCTATGGAGAACTTTAACACCTATTCTCAGCTCCTCTAATACATATATACCAGTGATCATTGTAGAATGGCACCAGCTCTGATCACCATCAGAGGTACCAGTCCTCTGTCAGTATCCAGAGTGTCACAGGATACACATGATACATGGGTCATTTACACAAGGAATACTAACAGACACCAGGCAGCAGTATGCCATTGCTAATTCCAGTGAAAGCCTCTCTGACCATGATCATTTGAAGGATTTTATTAAATAATATATTCATTGTAACAGTTTTAGCCATCATAATCACCAAGATATAACACATGTGCAAAAATACCCACTGAATATGCCTGAAGAAGTATAAACTGTGTTTGGAAATCCATGTTACATTAAAAAAATCATTTGATATAAAAACCAAATATGAGAAGCATGAAAGGCCATGCGTTTAATAGAAGCCGATTGCTGACTCCGGAGTAACAGCGGCATGCATGTCTCTGGTCATGTTACACTTCTCCTTGAGCTTTGACTGCAGTAGCGTGTGCTCCACAACACCGATCCTAATGTCCATCTGAACAGTTTCTTGCTTCAGCTTGGTTAGGCTCTGCTTAATCTTCACCAAAGGCGCTGGAGAAGAAGAACAGCATGAAATGAAAATGTTCCTTTGGAGTATCAGTTTGTCAGAGAATTGCCTGACATTTTCCTTGGTTTGTCTTAAGCCAGAAATAGGGTTAAAACACAGCCAATGACTTGCTGACATTCACACAGCTTTGTGGTGGTATTTTAAACACCTGAGAGTTTTAGGATGGGAACTGGTTCAATGTTTGATGTACTCAGGCTGAATTTTCTAACTTTTCTAGGAAAAGAAGTGCTAAGTGGGTATTTAAGGATGTGTTCAACACAGGTTTGTCTGCAGGAACAGAGAATAGAATAGTTAGAGAGGAAAGAAAGATGCTTTTGAGATCCAAATAATGAGTCCATTGAAAACACTGCAGGGAAATCCCCACATCCCACTCTAGATTCCCAGTCTGTGTGCAGAGCATCAGAACCCTAGAAAATCGTTCTGAAATACAAGCCAGAGGTGATGACCACTGGCCTGGTCAAACGGAACAGTTTGTAATGGAGGATAATTACTGAGAGACGAATCTCTGTTTGAACCCAGCTCAGACAGGGCTTCCTGCAAGGAGGGGCAAAACCTCAAGTGTCATTACATCATTGGCCTGGTGTCACTTGGGGTATTCTTAAGATTTTTGTATATAAATGGTGAAAACAAAATAATATATTTTTAAACTGTCAGAGGAAAAGTACATAAATATTTCTCACTCTATCTTTGAGTTATTAGTTTGAATTAATAAAATCTAAATTAGAGTAAAAATAATTTTTTATCAGTTGATTCATAATGAATACAATATTCTAATGATCAGACATATTTTTTTTTACCACTTATCTGTTTTTAAACAAGTAAAAATAGATTATTCATATATTATCTCTGTGTGTGAGAGAGCCTGTAGACGTCAGGGGACAGATTTCAGGAGTTGGTTTTCTCCTTCTATCATGGGATCTGAGACAGAACTGAGGTTGCCAGGCTGAAGTACCAAGCATCTCTACCCTCTGAGCTACACTGCCGACCCACGAAGCTCTGGCCCACAGTGCCTGGGACCGCAGCTGCAGAGCTTAGCCCCTAAGTGAAGAAATACTCACTGCCGTCCGTCATGCTGCTGCCCTTCTCTTCCATTTCTTGTTTTACCTTTTCTAATTCTTCTGTAACCTTTCATTGAAAAAAAAACTATGAATACTGAATTTTAATGAACCCTGAAATTTTTTGAATGCTGCATTGAGAAAAATCAATGCAGAAACAAGGAAATAAAACATTAAGAATATTGTGGACATAATTCAAATAAAAGACAACATATATGGATACACAAAGCTTTCTGGTTTTTAAGAACTGCTTATAAAACACCAGCAAATTACTTTCACATTAACTTTCTCATGCTGCGATATTATAGAATGAAAATCAAGTTGTTTGCAGTACGAAGCCCTCAAACTGTGCAATTATCACTAGCATTTACCATGCCGCTCTCTAACTATTAGTTATTAGCCAGCACAATGCTACCAGAACCCTGCTCTGGCTTTCTAAGAATCTTTCTTAATAGTATAGTTATTGGAAGACCGTCCTATCCTACCAAGGCCAGTAAGGAAAGGTTTACACCGTATGACAAGATACAAAAATATGTATTCCTGCCCTCTCCAGCCCAGGAACTCTGAACTCTAAGAGGCATCCGTGCCGACATGAAGATTCCAGATGAATCTGTACTTGACCTCAAGATTATGCTGCTGCTGCCTCTCCTGGGAGAACTCTGCGCCTGCAGTATACTCTCTAAAATGATATAGTAAATAGAATCTCTAAAATTTGAGACTGTTTTTACATAATCTAGGGCTACGCTGTAATTACTGTAACTTAGTAGGCTTTATTTCTATCATGCTGGTGAGTAAAACCTTCCCAGGGAATAAAGTGCTCATCAAGGCGAAGCAAATTAATTTCTTGCAGGCACCTGAAGCATCACAACTGGGGACAACCACCGACTCCAGAGGACTAAGTGGTCCCCGGACACACTTCAAACGCTCATTTACCCCACATTAGTGAGCACTTTCCTTCCGCGGAATGCTTTATCTGCCTAGAAACACTATAGGACTAGAGCCTAAATATTTCTAATGCTATATTATAAAATAAATATTTCTGAAATGCTCGTTATAAGAGAAATGTAATTTCTTACTGGCCAAACAGTATAGCTTGTGAAAACTGTGCCTCTTCTAGCTATAGATAGTCTTAGATCTTAGTCTCATAACCAAAAATGAGAACAAATATCAGGCCTATCTTCTGTATGATCATGAAAACAGATGCAGTGACACTCAAATATTTTAGAAGTTCCTGAATGAAGAGGTTGCAACTTATCTCAACTGTAGACAGAGCCGCACTCTGGATCACACACACTCACACACACAGCACACACACACACACACACACACACACACACACACACACACACACACAGCAATCACTGACAACAGCTTTATCTCTTGAAGACTCACATTACTTGGCTACAGACTACTCAGGTGGTGCTTTACCTGCTCTTCTATTATTAATTGCTGTTTTAGATAGAGATTAGGAAAGTTATCAATGTGCTGATAATAACAGCAAGTTTTATGATTAATTTAATCCAGCAACCTCAGGTGTCTTAAAGAAACAAAAGAAGGATAATTGGTTCACTCGTTAGTAAACTTCTAAAGTCGATGTGTGGACATTTGGAGCCACACTGATTGAAATCAGCAGCATTCAGGTAGTGGCTGGCTCTGCCAGGCTGGGGCCCAGCTGACTGGTAAGCAGCATAGAGTGCTGGTATGTACCTCAGACAGGAGTCTAGTCCGTTCCGTTACTCCACCATTGCCCTGCTGGTAGCGCTCCCTCGCCTGAAGAAGAAAACACTGTGTTTAAGAGCAAATCCTAACCAGGAAGATTATTTAAATATGACTTCTGTATGTGTGCAGTTTCTGCACAGCATTTTATGACACCCTCTTATTTGTGAATATATCTATGAAAGTGACATTTAACTGTAGCTATTTCATGTCCTTATTAATAGGCGCCATGCATTTAAGTGAGGCACTATAAGATGATGAACTGCTGCAGCCTTCCCGTGGCAGCTCTGTAACCCGCCTGGGCACAGCTGACAATAAAAACTGTCCTCCGCCCTCTCTAAACACTCTGGGAGGGTGACTCTCAGTCAATCTAATTTGTGTGCTATGCAAGAGAAAATCAGTTCTAAAATGAAAAAAAAATCAATCAGAGTAGAGTCTGAAGCTCAGCAATTAATAAGGATTAATAAAGTGGATGACAGTGCAGCCAACTAGAATATGTTCTCGGAAACTAATCTGGCAATCAATTATTCAATATTAATGGTGGATACACAGTGCCTTTAACCAGAGGGCACTTTTAAAGTAAAAAATGTTCAGGAATTCACGTATATATTAGGGAATAATGAATTCAAAGTGAATATAATAAAAAGTGAAAATTATTTTCAACTTGGTCTTTTAGAACTTCTGAAAATCAGAGTTATCTCAAACTTATTTTCATTTTATTTCTGAAAGTATTAGTTAAGATTATGACTCACTGACAGGTTTGTAGATGTATACAATGCATTCTGGTCATTTTTACCCTTACTGCTTTCTCCCAGTCCCCTCCTGCCGAACCCCCTTATTTGCATGTATTCTACCTTAACATCAGGAAAAAAGGGGTTTTCCTTATACATTCCCAAGGAAAGCTATGGGATTTCAATAGATGTTTTCATAAGCCAGGGATTTTATTTTCTGATCAAAATTCTAAAATGTTGAAAGAATGAAAAATTATTTTCACTGACTTAAATTGTTTGTCTCTGAATTCATCTTGTTTTCTGACTTCCTTAGTATAAAGCCGTAAGCCACTGTGGCAAGTGGTGCTTTCCCCTGCCACACAGAAACACACATGATTCTTTCTTCTACTTCAACAGTGACTAAAGACAGAGTTGGAAATGAGACACAGCATCCTGACACTCTCCTCCTGTTCTAAGTCATGATTGCAAACAACAAACCGGGATTTATCTAAATAAAATGAAGAAGTGTGTTCAAGAACTGCTGGGGGATAATCATTTCTATCTCATATGAAATGGAGGTTCTCTTGTCCTCTCTTGGTTTCAAGTGGGCAGAGAATGCATATACTTCTGTTGATGAACATTTTTAAACATTATATCTTCTTTGATCATTTCACACAGGGATGAATTTAGATTATAATATCTACCTCAAGCCCTCCCATCTCTCCATTTTATAATTCATAAACAAAATGTGTTATGGCATTTTAGGGATTAGGATCATGAGTTGGAATAAATCCCTGGAAAGCATTCTTAAATTACCTCACTTAGCTGGGCTTGGGCCCCACGATATTCTTGAACCAAGTGCTCAAGTTGATTGTTAATGTACTTTTCTCGGCTGCCAATCTTTTCCAGAGTCCTGCTAATTTCATTATGGAGCTTGTCCAAAAACCCCTAGAAATCCATGGGATTTTAGAAGTTTAAAGAATAAGTAAGTTTTTCAAGACTGGTAAAAATAAGTTAAATATTCTTCAACCCAATCCACAAATGTGTGCAAAAGAAGACAGTTTGAAATTTCAACATAAACCAAACTTTATGACAAGAAACACTTTAGTCACACTGTAACCTTTAAAAAAAGAAGCCAGATGTGATGGTTCAGTCCTGTAATCCAAGGACCCTGTAGACTGAAGCAAGAGAACTACCCCTGGGTTACACATGGAACCTGTCTTCAGAAAAGAGGAGCGTGGTAGTGTGAGTGACCTCTTGTTCTCATACACATCTGAATGCCTAAGGTTTATGACACTGCAATAAGTTGTATATAAACTTTAAAATCAAAGCAGCCAAGGAATAATATGACTACCTGATGCTGGTGTAGCCTGGGACCCACAGCTTTTCACTCAAGCTTGCTTCTTTATGGCATTCTCTAATAATACCACTTCTACCATGGCAACAAGGCTGGGGGAGCTGCAAGTCCTAGCCATTATCAGCCTGGGGTTCACACAACATCTGTAATCAAACATTGATATGTATCTAAAACAACTATTAGATGCATATGTGTAATATGTGATAGTCATGTGCATATTGAAAATACAAATGGATTATAGGCATATACTACCACATCTGGCTATAAGTAGTTTTTATATAACTAGCTTGCTTTACTTAGTGTAAGCACTGGGACTGTGAAGATGTACTGTGGTATATTCAATTAATCATATTCTGAAAGATAAGGATTACATCTGTTCTTCTTTCATGCTCTGTCACAATAGGCCTAGATGAGCAAATGCATGTTGTTGGTCATTCACATACCTTGGTCTCCTTTAGAGCAGATTCGATTCCACTCTTATGCTGGTGCATTTGGTCAACATGGATCCTCCAATCCTATTGGCATAAGCACATATAGGAATGAAGCACAAAGAAAATACCACCTTTTCACTGTTTGCCTGTCTGTTGTGAAGGTGTGTCTTTCACCTTGGTTACTTGGTAGCTGTCCTATTTAGGTGGCAGAGTCCTATATATAGCTTGCAATCAGAATGTAAAGAGAGCACAGGGCACTTTAGGATAAAAGTCCTAAGTAAATGTAAATTATTTTATGTGTTCACAGGGTGATATCTGGTAATTTGAATACAAATTATTCTTGCTCTGCTGGTGGTTAATATTTATGACTACCCATCAAAATGAAAAAAAAATCTAATTACTAGCAAAGAAATACTTGCTTAAGCAGTAACGATTGTGTTTGCCAGAAGCAACTCTCAACTCTACTCAAATATCATGTATCAAAGATTAGTTTGTCTCTTGGAAATGAAAATGGGCTTTCATTCAGAAGTCTTCAGCAAGACTTCTGAATTTTGTCTTTAATCAAGGAAGTCTACTAGAGCCTACTGCTACTGGAATCATTTTAAATTGATGTGAACTGTGTAATTCCCTGAAGATACCTTCAAATTATTTCAGTTTATATCATTATAAGTCAGAGTGTTAAATGACTTCAGCAATGTCCGTCTTCAGAGGTAGAGTGAGGACAGTGGTGGGACTTAGGCTCAGTCTGTCTGTCTGTTTGCGTAAACTGACAGGCTTGCTTGCTGTGGGTATACAAACTTCTGAAGAAAAAAATGTGAACAATTCACTCTACTGATGTTTTTACTTTGAAACACAGCCATAACAACAGGATGTAAAAATGTCCTGAGTGCTTCAAACATGACAAATATCAAGTTATAATATATTTAAGCTGTAGAGAGCCTCAAGAGCATCTAATCTCACACTTATCCTTAAGCAGAGACCTGGGTACAGAAGAGGGCACAGCTGAAGACATGTACATAGCAGTCTAAGTTCCTGCCTGATGCCTATTGCCAGTTCAGGGGTAAGAAGAGCACAGCTAGCCACCTGACACTAGGAAGAACGGCAAAATATAGAACTAACAAGCACTACCCATCCCTGGGTCTTTCTGCATCCTGAACATAACATCTAAAGATATAAAGGCTGGAGAGGACCTTCGAGATTGTCTCTTCACCATTAACAATTAGGTAGCTCAGCATTTTGAGCATCTGAGGTTGAAAGGGTAATACAAACAAGAAAAACACAGGGAACATATCAGTGTAGGTTGGCCAAGTATAAAGCACAAAATTATGGAGTGGTAGGTAGACAGGATTGATCATGGTGAAATAAAACCAAAGAAAGAGGTAGATTAAATTGTATCAGGGTGTTGTTTCTAACCTCTGAGGAGTATAGCTTCCACCATGTGGACAAGAGTATGCTATCATAGGTTTTGGGTTGAATTTTCAAGGCAAGTCTGTGTTTTGAAAAAGTGGTGGGTTACTGGACCCACTAGGAAGGATCAAGATTCTGAAGACTGGTGGCACATCAGTCAGAAGGCCGTGCAGTGGTCCAGCTCATATAGATTTGAATGAAAGAGAGGGATACATCCAAATGACATTGCAGAGACATGCCAGGTAGGATGTTCTCAGCAGGTGACTTGTGAGTGCATGTGGTTGGTGGATGTAGAAAGTGGAGGGACAGTCATTGAGGGCCCTAGATTGACAAAGGAATGGAATATCAAGTCATGTAACAGGTAACAACAGGAAAGACTTTGGGGAAGCCAAAATTACCAAGGAATTTGGTGTTAGACTTGTTAAATTTCTCTAAGTTTTTAATAGGCAATTAAAACACAAAGCTAGTCATGACTTAGAATTATTTGCTAGAAAAATCCAAATATGTATCTTATTAAAATCTTCATGGATATATTTCCTGATGAAAACTGATTTTTAAAAGAAGCAAACAAGCATTTAAAATATTCTTATCTTTTAATCCAACAGTTTAGTTCTGGAAAATATTCCCACCTAAACTGGAAACACATAGATTTATGCACACATTTTCTGTTAAAGTAAAACACCAGAAAATATATTGCTAATATTATATCATTCATTCTACAATTAAAAATAATGCATACATCATGAAGGTATTTTTATAGGCTTCAAAACCAAGAACTCAGTAATACAGAGTTCAGAGATAGACACAGGTAAGAATACCCAGGAACACAGGAAGCAGCTAAGGACAGTCCACAGACTGGAGGATGGTATGCACCAGCACAGGGGAGGGAAGATATACAGTGGCACACATAGGTAACATCAGAATGCTCAACACCCAAGTCAGGAAAGAGGCTGGCTTTATCTTTGAGATTTAAAACTCTGTACTTTGCATTATAAACATTAACATACATTAAATGTTAAGTTTTTGTACTCTTAATGATTAGCAAAAATGTTTGCTTAACAGCATACAAACAATAGAGAATACAGTCTCAAAACACTAGATATTTATTAAAGTTAATATTATACATGTTGTGCCTTATATTAAAGCATGAATTTGAATATAGAAAAATTTAAGTTTTATTTTTATCCTTTAAAATTTGTTAAGATTCCTAGAAAATTTTATACATTAATTATCAGAAGAAAAAGGGAGGAAACAAAAATCTCATAGTTGCCCAAGAAGGTCCTGAACAGGTTTTAACATAGTTCTAGTGGAATGTGACTTTGACTATAACTAACATTTTGAAAACATGTATATAAAAGGGGGGAGGCATACATTTGAGAACCGAGAGCTGAGATGGTTGAAAGCTTTACAAGGGTTTTTGTGGTAAGAATGGAGAAGTGATGGGTTTTAATGATATGTAAGGACTTGAAGCCTACCTGCGTTCTAGTAATAAGTAACATTAAAAGGAGCTATTCAACGGTGCTAACAATTCGAACATTGGTGGAGAATGCATTAAGTTACAGCCACTTTAATGTAATTTTACATATTTAAAATGCAAAGGTTTGGAGAGATAAGTACACACTGACATCCCTTCTGATTGATTTCTCCCTTCCCTATAGAGGTGGTTCTCAACCTTCCTAATGCTGAGATGGCTTTAATATAGTTCCTTATATTGCGGTGCCCCCCCAACCATAAAATAATTTCATTGCTACTGTAATTGCTACAAATTGTAATGCAAATATTTGATATGTAAGATATGTGATATACAACCTCTGTGAAAGGGTCATTCAACCCCTCCACTACCATCCTGCCAAAGGGTCAGGATCCACAGGTTGAGAACCACTGCTACGGAGCTTTAGGAGATTTGCTGGCTGGTAACTGGAGAACTGTACTTCCCTTGTCCACTGATGCTGGGCGAGGCTGTGTAGTTCTTTTCAGTGGAATGGTGGACTGCATAGAACTTGGGAGAGGTATCCATCTAAAATGGTGTCCATGTCCTATCAGCCAAAGTAAGGACTCAGAAATTTCTCAGCCCAAGCTTGGGACTGAGAAGTATGGGGCCTCATAGGAATTAGGGTGCAGCTGACCACACATCAGTTACCTGGCCTGAGGATGATGCCCTACTATTAGTGTAAGCCACTGTGGTTTGGAGGTTTTGTTGCAGAGCAGACCAGTACATATATACATTGTTTGTTTTTGTTTTTGTTTTGAGACAAGGTTTTTCTGTGTAGCTCTGGCTGTCCTGGAACTCCCTCTGTATACCAGACTGGCCTCAAACTCAAAGATCTGCCAGCCTTTGCCTCCTGAGTGCTGGGACTAAAGGCATGTGTTGCCAACCACCTGGCAACACATATATTTTTTATAGTGAAGAAAACTATGTTAGTTAGACTATAGGGACTTTCCAGTGTTCATTCTGTCTGGTAAATGTACTTCCACACATAAAGATTTTCGTACATCATATAATGATTTTCTATGTGACAAAACAGACAGCCAAGATTGTGTAAAGTTAGAACTAAGGCCTCTTTCTGTTACATATTCACTGAGGACTATGTGCCCCTGAAGTCCACTGATCACCTATCACCAAGTGCTCTGAAGCATGTTCTTGGGTTCTTTAAGCATTTATCCAGTCTGTTGAAGATCTTGTTTCACCTATTTTTACAAACGCTCTCTCTCAATGGAATAGAGACATCAATGATCCAGCATACCACTTCCTTAGGCTCACTCTGTTCATGACTGAACCATAGGCCTCTAGCATGCTGGGGACTTGAGCATTTGTTTTTATTCCCAGGTCTTCAGGCTTGTTATTTTTCGAAATCCTCTCATACAAAATCTCATAATTCTATCATTTGTGAGGGGTAAATAACAAAGGTATTGTAATCATGATCTCTTTCCTCACTCTAAATTCTCTTGCACAAAATCATCTTCTGCATCGGTCCCTTTCAGAATGTGGGGAGTTGTGAGAAGTATCTATGCTGGTGTACACAATCAAAATGGATGTGATCTGGCTGTAGCTGTCAGGCAATTGTGAGGGCTCCACATTCTCTAAGCTGCACTTCAGAACACCACCTGACCGGCCTCTTCTGCATATGGAGATTTAGTTTAATTTCTTTTTCTTTTTGTGGGAGTTGGGGGAGTTTTCCAACTCAATGACTAAAAGCTTTTCTCTGAAACTATCGGGGAAAGGAGGTAAATATTAGACTATGAGTTAGGGTTGGCTATATATCCATATGTAAGTTTCATTAACATATAACTTATAAAATGTCAGACTCTCCCTTCCATCTTAAATCCAGTTTGGGCTTCCTTGCTTATAGACAAACACAGTGCTAAAAACCAAACCAAACCAAACCAAACAACCAAACCAAACCAAACCAAACCAAACACCAAACCAAACACCAAACCAAAAACTAAACCAAAATCCAAACCAAACCAAACCAATAGAAAACAAAACAAAACTTATTACATAAAAGCCAAAGCAGGATCTTTGTGTGCACTGGGATGTATTCTTCTAGGTATATGAGAAATCCATGGCACCACACAGAAGAGCCACCATGCTCACAGGATCTACTGAAGCACTTGCTTCTTCAAAGCAGGAATAAGGCCCAAGGCGCTGCGGTATCTAGAATCACTACTTCCCAAGG